GCCAAAAGTCCTTAGACAGCACCTTTCTAACCCACCACCCCTTACCATTGAGAAGGACAAGGGCAGCAGATACATGGGAACAACACCGCCTGCAAGTTCCCCTCCAAACCACTCACCATCCTGACTTGGAAATAGGTGGAAATAGAATCCCTACAGTATGGAAACAGGCCATTTGGCCCAACAAGTCCACACTGCCCCTCTGAAGAGCATCCACCCAGACCCATTCCCCTATTACTGTATTTCCCATGTCTAACCCCCCCTAACCTTCACTGTCACCAGGTCAATATCTTGAGACTGCTTCCCTAAAAGCATTATGGGTGCCCAAGGACTGCAAAGGTTCAAGGAGGCAGCTTACTACCACCTCATCAGGGGTAAGTGAGGACAGGCAATAAATGCTGACCCAGCCAATGCCACCCACAACCCAAGGAATGGATTAAAAAGATATTTTCCGACGTGAAGCTCCCCAGGATCCTAAAGGCACTATATCAATGCAAACTGTCGTTATTTTGTCAAACCTGAGGACTTTGTTATATCACAGGAACCTTTGAACAGTCTGTTTCTCTCTCCACAGATGCTGCCAGACCTGCTGAGTTTCTTCAGCACTTTCTGTGTCTGGTTCAGATCTCTGGCATCTGTAGGATTTTGCTTTTGTGTTGTAGGTAATGATCACCTTGATTAACCAATGGGAGAGGCAAGGGAAACTTTGAAAGAAGCTGACAGAGGAGATTCCGGTGTTGACCAGAGCTTATGTTCTAATAGATTATCACGTTCTGGTGATAGGTATTGACTGATGGACTGAATGACCTCTTGTTGTACACTAGTCTCTGTCTTATTTCATTCTGTGCAAGCTTGCTGTCTCCAAGGCCTGTGTTTTAAAATAGAATATAGGTGACACAATGGGAAGTTACCATTGCTGAGTAGATACTTCATGCATAACATACTGTTACTAACCAAGTGGTTTCTCGTCTCTGATGTCAGATCTATTAAGGCAGGGTGGTGGGGTGGGGGGAGGGTGGTGGGGGGGTATCAGTTCGCTAAGTTGGTTGGATGGCTGGCTTGCAATGCAGATTAAGGACATTGGTGAGGCCTCTTTTGTGTTCAGTTCTGGTCGCCCAGTTATAGGAAGGGTATTATGAAGCTACAGAGAGTTCAGAAGAGATTTACCAGGATGTTGCCGGGTATGGAAGATTTGAGTTATAAAGAAAGGCTGGATAGGCTGGGACTTCATTCACTGGAGCGTAGGAGGTTGAGAGGTGATCTTATAGAGGCTTATAAAATCATGAGGGGTATAGGTAGGGTTAATGGTAGGTGTTTTTTTCCCTAGGATGGGGGATTTAGAGACTAGGGGGCACATTTTTAAGATGAGAAGAGAGAGATTTAAAAAGACATGAGGGGCAAATTTTTTTTACACAGAGGGTGGTTCGCGAGTGGAATGAACTTCCTGAGGAAGTGGTGGATGTGGGCACAGTTACAATGTTTAAAAGATACTTAGATATAGTACATGAACAGGAAAGGTTTGGAGGGATATGGGCCAGGAGCAGGCAGGTGGGACTGGTTTAGTTTGGGAACATGGTCAGCATGGACTGGTTGGGCCAAAGGGTCTGTTCTTGTGCTATGTGACTCTATGACTCCATGACGCCAACAGTGTGGGTTCAATTCCTGCATTGGCTAAGGTTACTTTGAAGGTCTTAACTTGACCCTTGCCTGAGGTGTGGTGACCCTCAGGTTAATCTCACCACCAGTCATCTCTCTCAAACAAAACAGCAATCCTTTGGGACTATCAGTGATTTTACCTGCACACATAAGTAAAGTGGGCCAGTAGCGGCCTCTCATGTCATTCGATGTAATCATTGCTGGTTTGCAAACTAATTCCATATACCCTTCTTTGACCCACGATTTTCCTTCTTTCATGGGGTTGATGGGCATTGTTGGCTGGGCCAGCATTTGTTGACAATCCCTAATTGCCCTTGAACTGAGTGTCCCATTAGCTCACTTCAGAGGGTAATTAAGAGTCAACCACATTAGTACAGGTCTGGAGTCACATGTAGGTAAGGAAGGTGGATTTCCTTCCCTAAAGGGCACTAGTTCGCAACAATCAATGGCAGTTTCATAGAAACTACTCCATCACAGGCTAGCTTTCAGTTTCAGACATATCGACGGAATTTAGTTTCCACCAGATGCTGTGGTGGGGTTTGAATCTGACAACCCCCTCCCAGCGCATCAGACAGGACCCTTGGATTTCTAGTCCAGTGACCTTACCACTATTTTGTTAAAAATATATTCATAGAATATGGGCATCATTGGCCAGATCAGCATTAACTACCCGTCCCTAATTGCTCAAGGGCAGTCAAGGGTCAACCATACAGGGTTAAAGACCTGGAGGGGTTTCAAAGCAGATTTACGAGCATTGTATTGGGAATGAAGGATTTTAGATGTGGGGAAAGATTAAAGAGATTGAGCTTATTCTCCTTGGAGCAAAGAAATAGAGAGGTGACTTTATTGAGGAGTTCAAAATTAGGAAAAATTTTGACAGGGTAAAGAAGGATATTCTGTTTCCACTAGTTGGTATGTCAATCACTGAGGGTCACAGGTTGTCAGCAAGAGAGCTAGGGGTGAGATGAGGAGAAATTTCTTTACTCAGAGAGTTTGTCTGGATTCGTAATACGCTGTCTGGGAGAGTGATGGAGGTGGATTCCTCAGGAGGTTTCAAAAGAGAGCTGGATATATATTCGAAAGTGATTAATTTAGAGAGCTACAGAGATAGGGCTGGAGAGTGGGACTAGCTAGGTGGCTCTTTTGGGAGCTGGTACAGACATGATGGGTCGAATGGCCTCCTTCTGTACTGTAAAATTCTATACTGCTGTGGGTTTGGAGTCACATGTAGATGTTCCTTTATAAGGATCAACAGTGCTTGTATGGTCATCATTAGACTAGCATTCTAATTCTAGATTTTATTAAAAATTGAATTCCAGTTTTGCCATGGATAATAACCAGGCAGCAGGCCGGTTGGACAGAACCAAACTGAACGTAGCAGCATGTTGTCAGCACCAACACAATTCCAGTAGTAAGCAGCAAGTAATTTCTCCTGCATTGCAAGAAACGCCATCCAGGGAGAGCTCCAGCAGAATCAATTATCAGAATGTGTGAACTCTTTTAGCTGGAGCACCAACTGGTTTTCATCAGCATCTATGCTCACATCCACAGCCATGGTCCGAAAACTCAGGAGTGCACAGAACTGCAATGCACTGGGGTCGGGGTTTAAATGGATTGCATCTGCTTGAACATCTCGATAAAAGATATAGCTGCTGACAGCGCTAAGAACAGCTACAGAATGTCACAGTGACCCAGCGCAGTGCAAATCACAACAGTGCAGAGATCCTATGGACAAACCAAACCAATTATTCCATTGCTAAATCCTTCACTTATTAAAGCAGTCAGTCTTCCACAACTGTTCATTTGTGTTTCGTAGTTTGTCTACCCCTGCTCTCTCCTGACCAACAGCCCTTACTGTGAAAGCCCAGCCAAATGTTTAATATATTTTAAAAACCCACGACAAATTTGTCAAATCGTCCATTTAACTAAATTACAAAGAAAAATACAGCTACCTTCAACTTTCCTTTTTCTGCTCAGGCATGTTATTACATGTCTGCATGCTGTTTCTCACCACCTGCCAACTTGCCTTGTTTCTAAAGACAAAGCAGATCCAACAACTACAACAAAAGTGAGAGTAAGGTAGAGAGGGGCTAAATTAACATGGAGTTGGTGTTGGAATAATGCACTCCAGCCCATGTGATGCACATTTTTGCTAAAGGCATTGAGTCCATTTTTTCTTGCACCATCAAATTAACTAATCAAACCAACTAAATGTGTAACAAATCTACAATTAGGAGAGGTAGGAAGAGAGAGAGAGAGGCGGGGGAACCAAAATCCCAGCCTTTTTAATCAACTTGTTCAGAGATGTTAATATATATCTTTGGAGCAGATGGGACTTGAACCTTGTCTCCTAGTTCAGAGGTAGGGATGCAACTGCTGCACCACAAGAACCCCAAAAACCCAACCATTTAATCTCTGCTCCAATGAGTGTCAACTGCTCTCCATTATGGTTGGATCACATCTGGTTCTTTCTTAAAGGGGCTATCATTTGCAACATTGTCATTCCTGGTATATCTCATTCAGTCGTAGGACAATCTAAGGGGAGGAATAGTCGCTTCTAACAGTGCCCCTGCCTTCTACACAGACAATAAAGAACCTGCCACATCATATTCTCTTCGCAGTAACCACTTCAAGAATCAACAAATGTACATTCGTCATTTAAAATGCAAGGAGAAAGTCAGAAGAAGTTCACTCTCCCAGATTTTCCAGCACCTCCCTTTGATTCTCTGAACAAATTGGAAAACCCTCAAGCTTCTCAAATTGAGAGCAGGAATTCTTCTAGTCCCTGACTTCACAAAGAGAATTAATAACTCCACTCCTTTATCCTCACAGCCTTTCTTAAGACAAAATTTAATTATCAATGCACCCTCCTAACATGCCAGGAAATAAATTGGAGTGACCACTTGCAAATTCCTTAATTTTGTTTTATTCTAACATCTTTGATTTGAAAAAAATATTCACAATATTTTTGCAGAGTCTAAAATTTGTACCGACACCAAGGAACAGACAGACCAATTGTTATTTGTTACCAATGTTACAATATATAACATCCCAATTCATTAAGTTGACTACAACAGATTGTATCCAGATCAGAAGGTGTTCTAATGTCACACGAGTCCACACTGCAGTTGTGGACCTCAAGGTTCCACAAAACAGATTCAGAAAGTTTGTTAAAACCATCACTCCCTTATTTTCCATTTGTGTTGCTAGGATGATGTTTCCATTCCTTACGGAAGTGGTTTAATAGAACACCTGTCAGCAGAATGACTGCACTTAAAGATGTAACTTAGCAACAATCTCTAGTTCAGAGTGAAAGTGTTTTGTTTCTCTTATTTAGTTATTGTTACCTTCCTCATCTTCTTTCCTATCGGCATCGTCATCATCATCATTGTCGTTGTCATCATCATCGTTGTCACCATCATTGTCATCATCTTTATTGTTGTCATGGTCATTATTGTCATCATTGTTCCGATGGTCGTTATTGTCATTATTGTCATCATCATCATCATCATCATCATCATTGTTGTCATGGTCTTTGTTGTCATCATCATCTTTTTCATCATTGTTGTCATGGTCATCGTCACCATCATCATCATCATCATCTTTTTCATCATCGTGGTCATGGTCGTTGTCGTCATCATCATCATCATCATTGTCGCCATCATCACTGTTGTCATCGTCATTGTTGTCATCATCATCATCGTCGTCATTGTTGTCATCGTCGTTGTCATTATTGTCATCATCATCGTCATCATTGTTGTCATGATCGTTGTCGTCATCATCATCATCATCGTCATCATTGTTGTCATGGTCATCATCACCATTATCATCGTCATCATCATCGTCATCATCATTGTTGTCATGGTCATCATCACCATTGTCATCGTCATCGTCATCATCATTGTTGTCATGGTCATCATCACCATTATCATCGTCATCGTCATCGTCATCGTCATCATCATCATCGTTGTTATCATCATCCTCATTATTGTCATCTTCATCGTCTTCTTCAGCGTCGTTATTATCGTCGTCATTCTCATCATTGTCATCATCGTTGTTGTCATCGTCATCATCATCATCGTCATCTTTGTCATTGTTATCATGATCATCATCCTTCAAATCTCCATGTTCTTCATCATTGTCATCATCATCATTGTCGTCTTGAGTAGCAGTGACCCCAGGGATGACATTGATGTGAAAAGAACACACAAAAGTCAGCAACAGGCAGAAAAGCCAAGCCTTTTGGGACACCATGCTGTTGGCAACTTAAATTCCAAGGCAGCAAAGATAAATCCTCCCTGTTGGGTTGGTTGAGGTGGGGTGGTGGAAAGAAATGAGTAGAAATATAACGTGAGACAAATCTGAAATGGGAGAAATTATCGAGGGCAGTCAGGCTCCGAACTAAAGCAGCTTTTCTGGATGACCGGAGTTCACAAAATGATCTACCCACTTGATTGATAGCACCAGGTGCTTCTTGGCTTGCGATGTCTCCTGTCCAGCAGCCGTCACAAATGAATCCCTTGTCGAGTCATGGGATGCTTTTAATAAAGTCTTCCTGACATGGTTGTGGCATTGCATTGCCATATTTGAACGTCCAAACCAGCCAGAGGTCATTCACACAAGCTCTGTTGTCTTTAATAGCAACTGTGGCACTTTGCTATTGGCCCGATATTAAAAGACCTTCCATCTGTGAAAATTTCTGTAAATTGCCAGGGAGTCAGAGCATTCCCCTCCCCCTTCAAACTGCACGGCCCAACTCTCACCATTGCAGCAACAGTCAATTGAGCATGTGTGTGTGTGAAGGTTAAGAATCATAGAATCCCTACAGTGTGGAAACAGGCCCTTCAGCCCAACATGTCCACACTGACCCTCAGAGCACCCCACCCAGACCCATCCACCTAATCTACACATCCCTGAACACTACAGGCAATTTAGCATGGCCAATCCACCCTAACCTGCACATTTTTGGACTGTGGGAGGAAACCAGAGCACCCAGAGGAAACCCGCACAGACACAGGGAGAATGTGCAAACTCCACACAGACAGTCGCCTGAGGATGGAATTGAACCTGGGTCCCTGGCGCTGTGCAGCAGTGCTAACCACTGAGCCACTGAGCCACCATGCCACCCCAGAGGGGCAGTGGCTGCAAATCAGCTTTCACCTTTGATTTACGTCAAATAATTGAACTCAAATCTCTTACCAACAAGATTGAAATTGATTATCAGCACGGGCTAAGTAACAGAACAATGAGACGTAATCAATACGGCAGTGAACTATGTCCTTTGGAGAGATAAAGCTTTTTTAGTCACTATTCCAAAAGTGCCAGCCCCCTTTTAGGGCTACAGCTCCTTCAGAATGTGGGTCGTGTCGTTAACTTTCTCAGTACTGTAGATTTCAAACTGATTCCAATCTCTGACCCCTCCCCAAACTGAGTGTTTCCCTGGGAGGACGAACTCCTGCAGATTTGTCCCAATCTTAACCCAGAGTCCTCCAATTCCATCACCGTGTTGTTTCTGCTGCCTCTTACTGAAACCAATGACTTTTATATTCGGCAGCATTTATTACCCGTCCCTAGTTGCCCTTGAGAATGTGGTGGTGAGCTGTCTTCTTTACATGCTCCAGTCTGTTTGGGACAGGTTGGTCCACAATGCCATCTGGGGACGGAATTCCTGAACTATGGATTATGGAGTTCCAGGAGTTTTGATTATTGAAGTCTAGGACTATGGACTGTGGGAACGACAGGAATATGGTTTATGGAATTTCAAGACCGGATTATGGGAACTCCAGGACTATGAAGAATGGAAATTTGAGCACTATGGACTATAGAATTCCAGGATTTTCCACAACGGTATTCCAGGAGTATGAACTATGGGAATTCCAGGACTATGGATTTTGGAAATTCTAGAATTATCAATTATGGAACTATGAACTATGGATATTCAACACTATAGCTTATAGAATTCCAGGACTATGGACTATAGGGTACTGGGTGTGGGGCAGACAGTGAGTGGATTTGCACACTCTGAAAGACTGTGCCAAGGCTCCTGCCTTATTTGATCACAGCGCCACCTACATTCCATAACCCAGGGGTTTCAGTTGTGGTCAGCAACATCATTGGCATTTTCATGTGGCACCTCTGATGTTAGCAAATAGTCCCGAGGCTCTGTGGGAGTCGTGAGGTGTAAGCAGACCAAAAAAAAATTTGACCCTGAGCCAGAGGTGGGGGCTTGAGGACAAGACAGTGAGAAAAGCATGGTTTGAGGAGCTGGCAATGGGAGGATAGTGGCAGCAGGGTAGGACAAGGGATACAGAGAAGGAGGAGGGCAAGGGAATTCGAGATATTCGAAACCAGGATGAGAATGAACTACATCTGCTCAATTGAGATTCCCAGTTTAGGGTAAAGAGACATTCTGCAGAGGCTACCATTTATCATACCTTGTTAAGAAAAAACAAGTGAGCAGTTATTAAACTGATTCGAATTGCAGCTTTAACAAGTTCAAACAGTGAGCACTGCAAACTTAAAATGTGCTAATGCTGTTTGAGCATTTTATACATGTGTGTGTCTGAGTGACTGTGTCTGTTTTTGTTAGTGTCTGTGTCAGTGTGTGTCTCTGTGTTTGTGTGTTTGTGTCTGCGTGTCTATGTGTCTGTGTGTGTATGTGTCTCAATGTGTATGTGTCTGGGTGTGTATCTGTGTCTAAATGTATGTGCCTGTGTGTTTCTGAGTGTCTGAGAGAGAGAGTGTGTGCGTGTGTGAGAGAGAGATTGTGCATATTTGCGTCTGTGTCAGTGTGTGTCTGAGTGTCTGAGTGTTTTGTGTGTGTGTATGTGTGGTTGCTCTGTGTGCATCTGTTGCTGTGTGTATGTGTGTCACTGTGTGTGTGTCTGTGTGTGTGTGTCACTGTGTGTGTGTGTGTGTTTGTGTGTGTCACTGTGTGTCTTTGTCTGCATGTGTGTGTCACTGTGTGTGTGTGGCATTGTGTGTGTGTCTGTGTGTGTGTGTCACTGTGTGTGTGTGGCACTGTGTGTGTGTCTGTGTGTGTGTGTGTGAGAGAAATTGTATATGTTTGCACTGTGTGTCTGCATGTCTGAGTGTTTTGTGTGCGTGTGTGTCACGCTGTGTGTGTGCGTCTGTGTGTGTGTCAATCTGTGTGTGTGTGTCAGCTTGTGTGTCACTGTGTGTGTGTGTCACTCTGTGTGTGTGTGTGTGTCACTCTGTGTGTATGTGTGTGTGTGTCACTCTGTGGTTGTGTGTGTGTGTGTCACTCTGTGTGTGTGTGTGTGTGTGTGTCACTCTGTGTGTGTGTCACTCTGTGTGTGTGTGTCACTCTGTGTGTGTGTGTGTCACTCTGTGTGTGTGTCACTCTGTGTGTGTGTGTGTGTCACTCTGTGGTTGTGTGTGTGTGTGTGTCACTGTGTGTGTATGTGTGTGTGTGTCACTCTGTGGTTGTGTGTGTGTGTGTCACTGTGTGTGTGTGTGTGTGT